GGGAAGATGTTTGTTTTTGCAGGATCCGGATTTCTCTTATGGGCGGAGGGGGAGGGGGGGGGGGGGGTCAGAAAATTCGCTCGGGGTACCTCCTTCTTCGGAGGTCCCTGGAAGAAAGGATCCTAGTGTTCAGGGCATTTTCTGCGTAATTACCTGAACTGTCTCCGCCGCATGTCTGAAGACTCGAAGTACGTGTTTGTGGGTTCCAACCCTACACGCTAAGTTCAACGCCCCAAACCCCAAACCCAACACCCAAAGCCCTAAACCCCAGAACCCTAAACCCTAAACGGCTCCTTGGCCACAGCGAGACCTCAGCAAGAATCTCCCTGGCGCACATACCAAAGGCTTTGGAGTATTTACTTACTTGCAGTATCTCCGCACAGTTCCTATATACTTCTTCGATAATTGACCCGGAAATCCTATTGAAGTTATTGAGCAAAGTTTTCCGAAGATCTAAGATACAGGTCGGAATAGGTACCAGCATTCTTCCTGCGAGTTCCTTAGTCGTTACCCATAGGCTCCATAGTAGTTCCCTTTTGTGGTTTCTATTTAGGATCCTATAAGGTAGTCCCAAGAAGGAACTACAATGGAGCCCATGGGTAGAGTATATTCTTATATTAAAGCCCCCAAGATGAGTCGGCAACCCAAGCTTCATGACCAACGCCAAGTCTCTCACAAGTAACCCACATGTCGCAGTAATCCCTGTAAGCTTTTGAACGATGGAACCCTGGGGCTCCAACTAGCCCGAAGTAGGTACTATTTACAGACTTTAGACCCCAAAGTAGGTACTATTTGTATACTTGGAGCCCTAGGGGAAGTTTGGAATTCCTCAAATCCCGAACTTGAAAAAACTAGTCCTTACACACCCCGAAGGCAAGATCCGAACTTCGACCACCGTGGGGGTCGCTACCACTTGACGTACACCGGCTTCTGGCCCAAGCAGACGACGCGAGCTTGACACACTACGGTTGATGATATTAAAAATCCTGCATTACCTTAAGGACCCTATCATAAACTATGGGAGTGGTGCAGGAATTTTAACATCAACTGTTGGCATGAGGGCTGGAAGAAATTCTTCACCCTGGAGTCTATGGCTGAAACTTCTTGGGTTTCTGCGGTGGGCTCATGCCTTTCAGTGTGTTTTATGGCTGAAGTAGTTAAGATGCAGTTAGACTTTAGGGTTGCTGAGGTCTTATCAAGCCTGGATCCAGCAGATCTATAGTCTTTAGAGTGACGATGCTGTTGTCTCTTCGAGAGTACTGGTAGCGTTACGGTTTAAGCTTCTCGAAGAAGCAGGAAGGACACAACGCGAGATCGGAGCCGTGTAGTTGTCCACATTCCCAGCCAATGTTGTCATGATCCATGTGCGTTCTGTGGCAGTGTCGGGCTATCTGGTTGCCTGGTTTGCTTTGTTTGTGGGTTTTAGGTATTTAGGTGGATAGCGCGAGATAAAAGTAGCCTCGCGCTGCGGGTAGTGGCCGCGTTTCACATTGCCAGAGTTGCCGATATGCAAATCGCCATCGTCGTAGCTTCGCTTCCGAGCCATACAAAATCCCGTCGCTTTGAGGGGAAGTGCCGGAGCATAGACTATGGTCACCTATGGTCGGAGTCATGATAATAAGCAAGCCCTGTACCAACCCAGGGTCTCCACATAGCCCAAAGTAGGTACTATTTACAGACTTTAGACCCCAAAGTTGTTACTCTTTGTATACTTGGAGCCCTCTACCAATGGTTGTAGTCATCTCTAAAATGGTCCCTCGCGACGGAGGAGCCTTCGGGATGGCAACTTGAGAGCTAGTTACCCATAGGCTCCATTGTAGTTCCTTTTTGGGATTACCTTATAGGATCCTAAATATAAACCACAAGAAGGAACTACTATGGAGCCTATGGGTAGTGCCATGAGTCACAGCTGTGGCCCGTCGCAGGTTTTTTTGTTGCCTGCTTGCAAGCTCATAAAGCTGAACGGTCATATAGAGGGCTTAAATATTATTCCGGGCAGAAGCTTCAGATGAACTCAGATTCGGCACCGAGGAGTCATACCGGACCCTGGTCCTTTGCCCCTAAAATTTCGTTCTACCGTCAAGAAGCCGAAGCCGCAGCCAGGAATCCTCAACCAGAAACTTTCCACACCCCAAACAAAGGACTCAAAAGCCCAGCAGGACAATCCACGCTAAGCATCGCCACACTCTGCAGCTTGTACGCTGTTTTTTTAACCAAACACCAAAAAAGGGCCTGAAAGATAAAGAAAGGAATTAAGCAAGGCAACCCATAGTCCTAAAACCGGACACCCACGAACACTTGCATTTCACTGGATCGGTGGAGGTTGACAAAGCTGGAGCTGTTGTTGAAACAGCTGTGCACCCAGATTCAGATTCGTCTAGGCATACAAGGTCTCAGAGTCTCAACGGTCATGATCTATGGTTAGGGTTTAGGGTATACTGGGTCCTTGTTGGATACGATTTTGCATTTTTGTTATGATAAAACTCAACAAGATTAAAAATCATGAAAAGTGAGCAGTTTTACTATGGCCCCAGCAGGGAATCAGTTTGGGGTCTAGGATGATGCAGTGGTTAGATAGAGAGCTGAATGATTCGCGCTTGGTAACAGTATCCCCTTACAAAGCTCTCTGCTAGTTAAGGCCCCTTTATTCCAGAGCTGTGGGCTGCAGGGTGCCTAAACCCTGAAGCCTAAATCTTCAAGGGGAAACCCTAAATCCTGAACCCGAAGCGGTTTCGGGTTTGGGTTCGGTGTCTCAGGGTGTCTTAGGCGAGGTTTTGTACTTCTTGAGTTCAGGTCTTTGCTGCGTTTGGACAAGTCAGCTCGCTCTCGCTCTCGCTCTCGCTCTCGCTCTCGCTCTCGCTCTCGCTCTCGCTCTCGCTCTCTCTCTCTCTCTCTCTCTGTTGCTGCTGCTTTGCTTTTGCTTGTGTGTGTATTGCGCATGTCTTCATTAACTAGATATATTTGGACATAACGAGCTGTGTATGAGGAGCAGGCCCTGTGTCTTTCACGCTAGCATGGGCTCGATGCCCGAAATCCTCGTTGTCGTGACTGTCCCAATCGCCTCCCAAGGCCTGTCTTTTCGGATCGAGCCCTCTTAGCCCTAAAAACTGAGAAGGCCCTGTCATTCCGACTACATCCCTGCTCACAGTTGTGATGACAAGCTCAGATTGGGATTTGCTGTCCTCCACGAGTTCCGGCACCTTTTAGACGGGCAGTGACAAGGATAATCACTCTCGATACTTCTACTACGACTGCTTCTACTACTACTGCCACTGCTGCTGCTGCTGCTGCTGCTGCTACTACTACTACTACTACTACTACGCCGCTGATGCTTGTGATTCAAAGTCGCAACATATCTTGCAAAGGTCCTTCCGTACTGCCGGACTCGTGGTGGCCTTTGGCAAATCAAGGCCTCTTTGGGTATTTGATCATGGGGCTTGGGAAGAAGTGTACCCAATTTTTTGAAGCTCCCATTCGGAGAAGATCGGAAAGACGAGGGTTGTGGGTTGCACGCTTAAACAGGCTTTCGGGACAAGGGTGGAAGGGGGTTTCATAGTCTTTGCGGGGTGGTGCAGCAGCAAATCGATAGAGTTAATTGTCAGGTCTTGTCTGGACACAGCTCTTGCGCCGCCCTTTCCCCGACAGGCACCCCGATACTAAGTTTCCTCCTTGTTTGCGTGCTGTTGCGAAAAGTGTCTTTGACGAAGCTTACGCATCTTCAAGTGTCTACGGAATCACCGCCACTAGCACCCGAGTCACCACCACCTACACCGCTACATGCTTCAATATCATCAGACTATGTTGTTGGTCTTGTGAATCGTCGCTACTGCCAAGTCTGGCTGCCATCATCATCATCATCATCAACATCGTCATCGTTGTCAGTCATCATCACCATCAGAATAAGGGCACAGCTCAATCGCAGTCGTGCATTTCCGAGGCACTGAACCACTTGGCGACCGTACGCATGAAGCAGGCAAGCTGGCAGGATTTATGTGAGCCAAACAATGCTTCAAGTCGAAACTCTAAACCCATAGAACCCTAAGCCCCTAAATCCCTAACCTCTCATAAAGGACTTTGGGCCTGCTGTTCAGGATCTACCTAAGGAAGGCTGACTTACGAAGTAGACGAGTATCCCCCGAATATACACTAAATCTAGTATGGACCAACTCCATACATAGCCAAGCCAGTCAGAGGCTAGTTCTAGGCATAAGTCTCAAAGAAAGACATCCAAAGATATATCCGATCCCACACCCTAAACACCTGCACCTGAACCCTAGACGACGGAAAGGATCTAGTGTCTGCCCCCTAAACCTTAAACCCTAACCCCTGACTTGCAATATCCGGCATTGGCGCCCGCTATCGAGGCTGACAGGCTGGCCCTGAAGCACAGAGCCGCTCTCCTCCCCATCCCTGCTCCAAGCTCTGAAACAGTGGCGGTGGTAGAGGGTTTCGGGTTTAGGGTCGTAGTAGTAGTAGTAGTAGTAGTAGTAATAGTAGTAGTAGTAGTAGTAGTAGTAGCAGCAGCAGCAGCAGCAGTAGCAGGAGCAGGAGCAGCAGTAACAGCAGCAAGGGTCGTCGAGGCTCACTGTAGTTAGACCTGACTGACCTCTACAATGACACCCATTCAAGTACTTGTAGCCACATTTGTAGCCAGAACCCGTTGGCCTTGACACGTTGCAACATGCGAGCATCAGAACTGCTAACCACACTGGAGCCCGAGCTGCTTCGTGGAGTGCCCTTGCACGTCTGCTTGGGAGGGTGGGCAAAGCATTGGAAGCCACCAGACCCTGGCATGTTCCGTGTTGACGCAGCAAACTACGAGCTGAGTCATCAAGCCGACTTTTTCGATGATTTCCTCAGTCACGACTGGCAAACATCCCGCTGGACCAAGCTGTGCAGTCTCCTCGTTGTCTACAACTCACGAGCAGCACTTGTGGCAGCTATTCTGGCTTGCCCCTTGATCGCTGTAGCTCGGATTGAAGATGTACTGCCAAACTATAGACCCAGCTCATGCTTGGTTTATGTCGTTCACTTGTTTTTCTTATGTTTCTGGCAGAGACTCCGAAGCACCGTGCTTCCACCTATCGTGGTCTTTCTGGACAAGCTCTGCATTGCGCAAAGTCCTGAACAAGCTGAGCTGAAGAAGAAGGGTATTCTCGGCTTAGCTGCTTTCCTCAACCATTCTAAGCGGCTGGTGGTTCTGTGGTCGCCAAGGTACCTTGGCGAAGTGTTCTGAAGGGTCCAGCCCAAATGTAAGGCTCTGATTAGTGTAAGGACCCCCCCAGCAAAAGTGACTGGAATAAGTGTCTGTGTTTTTTTGTTCCGGTGGCGGGCATCGGATTAAGAGCAATTGTTCATTACTAGTCACAGTAATAGTATTCGCAATAGCAACGTAATAGCAATTAACAATTAATAGTAATGTCTGTCATCTCAGAAGCCTGGCTTCCAAAAAAAGATAGTGTCACAAAAAATCTCTTTAGAGTACCAAAACAAAGTCAGGGGTCTGAATAGCAATTTCATTTTTTCTTTAGAGGGGTCCCCCATATCGGGTCCTCCATACGAAAACACGGCCTGTATTGGGCACTCGAGCTTTAGAAGTATCAGGGCCCTTCTAGATCACCGTTTCGAGTCGTTAATGAACCTTGTAGTATCTTTGTCTCTCCAGGCATGTGTGCCCCGATAATCCAGAGCAGCCGCTCTGCATGAGGCGTCTACTATCGCATCTTCATATCGTCGTCTAAGTCTTGGCATGTGCGGGATTTTAGCAAGATGTCCAATCTTGGAAACACTTGTCATCTTGGTAGTAGAGTGTAGCCGAAACTTCAAATGGTTGCCTGCTCTGTGTAGCAGTATTGCAGCAGGCCATGTCGATAGGGTTTGGTGATTGCCATTCCGCAAACCAGCCGCAACCAAGCATAGACACGTGTGCGCACGCAGGAACCCCTAAAGCCTAAGCAGCAAACTCTAAACCCTAGCAGAGACACGCTGCCGAGGTACTTCAGCAGATTCATGGCTGCTCCTGATCATGACTTTCGTTTTGTTAGCATGTGGCTCTGGTGTTCGTATCCTGGGGCTTTTGGGATTCAGGACCAGGCCGGAAAGCCAAGGCCCAAGAGCTGTTTGAAGGTTGAATTATGCCTGAACCCAAAGATTTTGGGTAGAGTCGATCGAACAGTTGCCCGTTCACTGGGAACGAACTGACAAAGTTAGGTTCAAAATTAGAAGCAACCAAGGATTATGGTGTGCATACGAGATTGCTGCATTTTTGACGGATCACAACAAGCACAAGCACGTATTGATTATGCCGGTCCATGCCGGCATCACCATCCTCATGGCTTTCTTTTTTTTCAGCTGGGTGACCTCCTCTTTGCTCATCGTTCTGGAAATGCTGCGGTATGGTACAGCAGGGGCTCAGATGGGCCAGGACCTGTGGACTGTCCTTCCAGTCGCTCTGTGCTGGATACTCGGTCTCCACAGTAGTAGCCTTTTGTGTTGGGGTCTCCTGATTACAACCGAACAGTAGGGAAAAAGGTACCCTTCTAACTAAGGAGCTACTGGGGAACCTAGGATACTTGGTCCTGTAATTCTCTTCGGAGTGCCCTTTGGCACCTTCAGTGCACGCATGGCCAAGCAACTGCAGCATGCGCCGGAGCAGCTGAAGACGTTTGAGGTCCAAAAGGCCGCGTGCTTCTGTTGCGCAAACGACCACAAGCACCCGGACACAGGATCGCCTGCAGCATCTGAAGGGGTAAAGGGATACCTGAAGCCCTAAAGCTAAGCCCTTAATCAACTAGTGGTGGTACTGGTTCCGACAACAATATGCAGATCCCCGAAGCTCTACAGACCATGCTGTGAACCCCGGAGCCCTCGATCGAAGCTCTGAACCTGTTTCTTTCAAGATATCGTATTTCGCGAAGGCTGTAGCGCTCATGTCCAGGATCTTGATATAAGGCGGTATGTGGGTACGGCAGGATGCTATTGAATTTATGTATTTGTAGGATGGTGTGTTTGAAAACCTGATCGTACACTTTGTTACCTTACCCGGCCTCGTAATGCTAAACTACTTTGCGAGAACCTCTGAGCATCCAAGCAGGAGCCGAGATCCCGTGTGACCGGGAGCTGGTCTACCGCAAGCTGGAAGACTGGTATGGCCGTCCGACAGACATAGGCGACGAGCATCTGCGGCGATTCAACTCTCTGGTTCATCACAGGCCAGCTGCAAGTCTAGAGACGTCGCGATTGAGGATGTCTTGGACTTCACCTTGCTGTAGGGCTTGATGGTGTTCCGCGTAGTAGGGGTGACTTACATGCAGACCCTGCTAGCCCTGATTCCCTCATTTCGTTCCGTTCCATCTATACGGGTCCACCGTGTGAGGTTGGGGCGCTCCGTGCTGAGACAAATGCCGCACGCCGTCCCCACCGCACCTCTCATCAAAATGCTAAGTGCTGCCACTATGCCATGGTTTGCAGACGCGATCGAGAGGATACTTTGGCGCATATTCAGAGAGGACGGGCGCGATTTTCTGGAGTATTCTTGGCGCTTTGCTGTCCTCGAATGGGCATTTGTGTTCACTGTGGTCATGGTGACAGGGTTACTGGCAGTGACATTGGCCACTCTCTTGGCGCGAACGTTCCCAACTGTCCGGGACCTCTGGCTTGCGCTAGGGGGTCTCACCATGTGTACCGTACCGGCAACAGTTGTTGTGGGAAGCTTCTTCGTGTTTCAGCACACTGCAGCTGATACTTGGCCTTCAACCATCGTGTTCATCGTAGCGCTGCTCCTGGGATCGTGCTCCCTGCGGCTTACTTTGACGAATCAGCAAAAGGCAGGTGTGACTGAAGAGCTTGATGACATGTCTGACGTGACATCTACGACGAATACCCCTCAGCTGAGAGCAGATTTTTTCTCCTCGGCGCCGGAAGTCGACAATCGGTTCATGTTCGACATGGCATCCGAAGCCTCTAGCTGGTCTGTTTAGTGTTTTTGTAAGGTTTTACCAGAGCCTCCGGGCGTAGCCAGGACCTCTCAGCAAATGAGAAGGGGGGCTTCCCATCGTTCTGACGAAGATTCACCGCTTTCAACATGCGCATGCAGGCAGTGCTATGTTATATTATATGACATTATATTATGTTATATTACATTATATTATATCATAGATTATACTACATTATATTATGGTATAAGGCATGCGTTCAGTCGTTCCACCTGCTGACTTGCAACGTCGTGACTTCCCCATGAGGGGTTTCACTTCCCGGCCAACTACGGCATCTCGTTTTTAAGACAGGGCCTTTGCTGCTCGCACCTGCAGCCTGTGAAGTACGGGCCAGAGAGAGAGAGAGAGAGAG